GGAGGAGGCGGCGCGGGAGGAAGAGGAAGAAATTAGAATAAGAGGAAAATGATTGGCATCATAGGCTCTATTAACAAAAAGTAGAATACCTAGACCCAAGGAAGTAGTATTTCCACTGTACTCGGCATTGCCCAGGGCAATGATTATCACATTTTCAGACACTGATGTAGGGTAGATATCCACAGAAGGGAACAGGAGTTACTAAATCTGGAAATAATGGCCTATCCATCCATTCAACACATTTTTATTTTTTTATTTTTTAAAAAGATTTTATTTATTTGACAGAGAGAGAGATCACAAGTAGGCAGAGAGGCAGGCAGGGAGAGAGGGAAGCAGGCTCCCCGCTGAGCAGAGCCTGATGTGGGGCTCGATCCCAGGACCCTGAGATCACGACCTGAGCAGAAGGCAGAGGCTTAACCCACTGAGCCACCCAGGTGCCCCATTCAGCACATTTTTAAAAAGCACGTGCTATATGCTAGGCACTCTTCACAAAATGAAGGCTCTGCCCTTACAGGGCTTATGCTCTGGAGTGGGGTAGAGGAAGATAGACACGCCAGCGAATATTAGAGTATGTGCGGAGAAATGGACACATAATGTACACAAATATGTAACAGAGACAAAAACAGCAGAAGTGGGATAGAGAGGGTGGTGAGATCTGTCATTTTACAGGTGTTCAGGGGAACACTTCCCTGATGAAGTGGTATTTCAGCAGGGACTGAAGGAAGTTAGTGAGATTTGTAGCCATCTGGGGGAAGTTTACAGGTAAACAGTTAAATGCAAAAGCCCAGGGAGGAAATATTAAGTGTTTGATGAACACAGATAGAGGCAGCAGCGAGTGGAAGTAGGGACTACAAATCAAATAGGCCCTCACAGAACAATGTAAATCACTGAGGGAGTTTGGCCGGAGAGCAAGCAGATCAAGGGAAGCCAATTATTTGGCTATTAACAACCATCTGAGTCAGAGATAACAGTGGCTTTGGCCAGAGTACTGGCAGAAGAGAGGACAAATGGCTGCTTTTGTAATGGGTTTTGAAGGTAAAGCTGTTAGGATTTGCAGATTTGGAAGTGGGTTGTTAGAGAGGGATCGAGAATGAGCCACAACGGGGTCCCTGGGGGAGTGGGGGAGCTCAGTAGGTTAAGTGTCTGCCTTTGGCTCAGGTCTTGATCCTGGAGTTCCAGGATGGAGCCCTGAGCCTAGCCACTGTGTTGGGCTCACTGCTCATCAGGAAGTCTGCTTCTCCCTCTCCCTTGCCCCCGCCCCCAGCTCCTGTTCTCTCTCTTGCTCACTCTCTTCTCTCAAATAAATAAAATCCTTAAAAAAAAAAAAAAAGTCACAATGACTGTAACAGATTTGCCATTGACTAAGAAGATTTAGGGTGACTGGGGTGGGAATGAGGAAAAAGATAAGCTTTAAAGGTCTAGGTAGTGGAACAAACTGCAAATAGTTGAAGAGGCAGGAGGAAGAGAAGACAAGGAACAGAGCCGTCTCAAAACGGTAGGGCCTTCTTTCTGGTGACCGCTCTGAGCAGTCAATATACAATGCCCGTGTATCCACTGTGAGGACACAGACAGAACTGCAGATTTGTAAGGACTCTTGTAACCTACTCAAACATACACGGTTTATTTTTCATTAACATTATGTAAGAAAACAGGTACATCTAGTATCTGGTACCAAACTTTTTTCCTTTCCATTATTTCTAAAAATTCAAGTTAAAAACACCCAAGATTTCAGGGGCGCCTGGGTGGCTCAGTGGGTTAAAGCCTCTGCCTTCGGCTCAGGTCATGATCTCAGGGTCCTGGGATGGAGCCCCTCATTGGGCTCTCTGCTCAGTGGGGAGCCTGCTTCCCTCTCTCTCTGCCTGCCCCTCTGCCTACTTGTGATCTCTGTCAAATAAATAAACAAATCTCAAAAAAAAAAAAACCAACTCACTCAAGATTTTAGTTTAAATCTAAAAACCTGCCTAATGAGAACCAAAGTGCTGAGAATAGGGATCTTGTCTTATATACCAAAGCTGAGGGCATATAGGCACCTTAGTGAGTGAATAAATGGGAGGTACAAATAAGAGTTGTTTCAAGACTTTTGATAGATTTTGCTTAACTGTGCCTTGAAAATGTGGTGCCCATTCATATTTCATGCACCAACAATATGATGGGACTTCCCTCCCCACAACTTTGCCAATACTGACAGTCACCGTGCTTTCTACAACTGCTAGCGTGGTGACAATTAGCATCTCATAGTTATTTGGGTAAGTAAGGGGGTTCTGCACTTTTTGTGCTTTAGTAGGCATCTGCATTATAAATTTTTTAAAAATTTTAATTTCCATAGAGTTAACAGTGGTATGATAGTTTCTGGTGTATGATACAGTGATTGAACAATTCCATGAGTCACCTGGTGCTCATCACAAGGGCTTTCCTTAATCCCCATCACGTCTTCACCCATCAACCCCACACTTTTTCTTCTATGAATTGCGTTTTAATATTTTTTGCTCATTTTTCTGGTTTTTTCTTCTCCAACTGGTATGAGTTCTTCATACACACTAGAAGTTAAGAGCATATATATGTTGCAAATATTTTGCTTTATCTTAAGCCATATAAAAATTTAAGATTTTCTTTTATGTTGCTTTGCCATGTTAAATATTTTGCAGGTTGCATTTAAAAAGTTCATTTAATGTATAATGAATTACTATGAATGTATAAGAAAATGTACTAAATATTATGTGTGGGTAGCAAATAAAAAACCAAAAGGATCCTATTTTCAGGCACATTACAATCACAGAAGGTTGTTATATGCATGTTTATTTTATTTTGAAGGTTTTATTTGAGAGAGGGAATGAGAGAGAGAGAGCGAGCATGAGAAGGGGGAGGGTCAGAGGAGAAGCAGACTCCCTGCTGAGCAGGGACCATGATGCGGGACTCTATTCCGGGACTCCAGGATTATGACCTGAGCTGAAGGCAGTCACTTAACCAACTGAGCCACCTAGGCTCATGAACGTTTATGATAAAACTATGCAGTAGGGCCGTGATATGCATATTTAACTATGCAGTAGGGCTGTGATAGTGGAAGTTCACTGTGAGTGTTCTTATGAAGCAGAGAGTATCCTGAATGATTTAGACAGGCTTTAAGGAAAGTTAAAATCAGAATTAGGCAGAGAGGTAAGATGTGAAGCGGGGGAGTTCTAGGTACACTTCCAGAAGTCAACTGCATGAGCAGGTGTCAGGAAAAGGCACATTCAGGGAACAGTGCATTATCTGGCGTGGGCTGGCTAATGTTGTAGAGAAAGAGTAAGACTACACCTGCTGAATTGTTTTGAATACCTTCCTTCCATTATGTGGCCTGTAGCTGCCTTCGCCAGTGCCAGAAGCTTACCCAGGATAAACCTTGGAAAATGAAGCAGAAGCTGCAGGAAGGGAGATTTTCATTTTCATACTCCTTGCACACCACGGACCAGCCCATTTTGGGTTATGCACAGATGAATCAGGTTGACTAACATCATATAATCTCAGGCATGGTCTGCACTTTCAGTTCTCTAATCTGAGTAGAATAGGTATTTAAGGCCCCTTGAGGGTAAAACGTCTAGGAAATCATAGATACCACACAGTATCAAATCTTATTTGGATCACTAATAAACATTTTTAGCTTACCTGAGACCCTAAGTATGGGGAAATCCTGATGAGATCCTTGGCATGGATATAGTCAGAGGCAGAAGCACTGTACTCCATTATTATCTATGTTCCGTGGGCTCTGGGTCACTGTTGCACGGTAGGATAAAGAACGACATAGCAGACATCGATTTCCTCATAAACACGCAAAACTTAACATATAATTGGAAGGTTCAGTGCCCTCCAACCTCCAGGTTCAATTACAATTAACACAGGTTAAACCAGATAGCTGCCAAAATACTTGTGAAGTGTATTTTAATTTCTAGTCACTCAATAACTTGTGAGATCCAGTCTTAAAAGTAAATGTTGCAAAGTCAGCATGGAATGATAAAATCCTTTGGGTAAGGATTTAAGAGATAATAGTGTAAATAATGTTTGAAAAAAATGCAGAGTTCTGTATATTCTTCAAGGTTATTAGAGACTTAAACAGGTAAAGTATGGTGGCTCCTGGCTCAGTTGGTTAAGCGTCTGCCTTCAGCTCAGGTCATGATCCCAGGGCCCTGGGGTTGAGCCCTGTATCAGGCTCCCTACTTAGTGCGAAGTCTGCTTCTCCCTCTGCCTCTGCTGCTCCCTCTGTTCATGCTCTCAATCTCTCTCAAATAAAATCTTTAACACAAACAAAAAGGTATGTATATTTAGCTAACCTGAGATTTTCTTCACTGTAAACTGAATTGTTCCCTAGCATACCCTAAGGCTAATACAGGACAGATCATTAACCATAAAGTACATTGTGGGATTAAAGGGACAAAAGTGTAGTTCAAAGGTTTTTGACAAAATCATATATTCCTGTTACCTTTGAAAATAAACACTCAGAATTCTTGTATACATCTTAGATCCTGCTTGGACATTTCATTCAATTTATTGGAATGCTTTTTGAAATACCGCATTACCATTACAATACAGAATGATATAATACAGACTTGCACTTCAATTACCAGTCTAACAGCATCAGGGAAAATGGGACTTTTAGTCATAGCATGAAATATACATAGAATCTAAGGCTATCCAATTATTTGAGTGTTTTCAACTTAAAAAACATTGTAAAAAACTCAAAAGATGTTGCTAGGTTTACTGAGTGCTTCTGACAGTGTAAAAATAAGACATGAAATAACACCAGTTACAACCATTAGGACTCACAATCATTTAAACGAAAGGACTGAAGAATTGTATGACTTAATTGTCCAGAATTTGTAAAATTCCTTGTTTCCCAATAAAATATTTCTAAACCATGCATATTCTCTAAAGCAGCTTTCCAGTGTATCAACACGCGTGCTCTCTTGGCTAGTTGTTTGCTAGAAATTAGCAGGAATCGCTTTTTTCCTCCACTATCATCCAAAAAACCAAACTCCTTAACTCCTTCTGCCAGCTAGGCTGCCCCCTACTGGACTGTGTAAGACATAAACCCAGCAGGACGATGGGACTATTTCCTAACTGTACATGAGAAAAGGCATACCCATACTTCAAATTGAACTTCCCTGAATACGCACAGAAAGAATCCTTCAGAAAACTGACTTTCACAGTGGGGGAAAAAAGCAGCAGAGTGTTCTTTCTACAAGTAAACGATTTCAGTCACTGAGAATTGGTAGAAAAGGAGCTTTCTACAGTCTTAGTCTCCTTTTTCAACTCCTTGGTGGCCAACCTGGAACAGTTGTAGTTCATGGGTATATTGTAAAGCCAAACTTTTATGATTTGTGTATTAATACAAATCATATTTTTGTGAGTCCATCTAATCTATGGATTTCTTTATGCATAAACACGATTCATAGTAGATACATGCTATGTAAAGCACCTACACAAGTCTCTTGTCACAAGTATCAACTTTTTCCAGAGCTGTTTGCTTTGCAAAGATTCATTTGGGTAGGAAGAGCTTTTTCTCTGTACTTCATCCCCAGGCCTGAGATTTGCAGTAATGCAGGACCAGTTTACCATCACTGCCAAAACACTACAAAAAGAAAAAAAAAAAAAAAGGCAATAAATTAAACTCCATTTAATTATTATTCCTAGATGAGACTAAGGAAAAGAATGTCACATATATCATAAAATATCCTCCACCATGTAAGTTATCTAAAAGACTATTTCTTTAAACAGATCCAGATTACTCTCCGATTCGGATCGGTAATCATAAATGTGAAATAAAACCTAGCATTTTAGGCACGGGTGGGCTTGCATATTATTTTGTTCCTTTCCTACATCTCTGACGATAAGATTTGTACTGTTTTCTAGTAGTGGTGCTAGTGTGTACACACGAATAATTACGGCCATTAAACTCTAAGAATGTTGAGTACAGTCATTCTTATTATGTAGCTTTCCTTTTCAATGTCTTCGGAGGCAGATCTGGATTACTGTACTTCAAAATCATTGTCTGTTGGTATTACTTATTTCTTAATTCTTCCATCACTATAGTCTGAGATCCACCTATGTTCTAAGTGTTAGATGTAACAAAGTAATCTCTCCTTTCATGACAGCTGAGAATGGCATATCATCTCTTAAAATGTTGTCAGTTCAAGATCACATAATACACACAGATGTGCATACTTCATTAGGAATCAAAGCACTGATGTTTATTACCTCATAGAGGGTTCCAACTTCCTGGTCTGGGGAGGGGGCAAAGGACTGATTCACATAAATAAACTGCAAGAAAGAAAAAGAGGATTCATTTTTAATGGTATCCTGATTAATCTGCACTTTTCTGGGTTCAGTCAGCTATTTCAGAATTGTTTTCAGAATTGTAAAAAGCTTCCCTAGACTCCTTCTAATTCCAGTAACTTACTTAACTAATGAGATCTCTCAAAGATCACATCTTTTCTCTGGAGGACTAAAAATAACAGAATTTCTGTTCCTAGAATAGTGGTTCCCAACTTTTTATAACTAAGAAACTTTTAAATATTGTCTTTACAAATAGCATTTGAAGGTTCATTCAAGAAAGTAATTACTGGAAAAACTCATATTTCCACTTATAATTAAAGACAGAATTTCTTCTGATGAAATTCTATACATAGCCCCAAATCAAGAAATCTAATATTTGAGCTCTATGTGTACTTTGCCTGGGGGGCGGGGGGGGATGACAAACATGGTTGGAGATACATACCTTGCTATCACCCGGGAAAACTCTCAAAGGTACTGCAATTCAGATGGGGTACCACTACTATTAAGTCACTTTCAGCCATGTGAGGTTTAAAAAAAGGAACACAACTGAAGTAAAAAAGTAACATAGCTTTGTTCTTTAAAGGATTCACTCTTCAATGATTCAGTTTGATCTATTTTCACTAAAACATTTCTAGTACTTAAAACATTTCTGGGAGCACCTGGGTGCCTCAGTCTGTTATGTGTCTGCCTTCAGCTCAGGTTTGGGATCCAGCCGTGCATCAGGCTCCCTGCTCAGCCGGAAGTCCGTTTCTCTCTCTCAAATAAATAAATAAAATCTTTAAAAAAAAACAGTAACAAAACAAAAAAAACATTTTTGAAGACTCTAAAATGAAAGGCCACAGTGTCAAAGTGGCTTTTGATAATTTTCTTTTTTAGAAAACAAAACACATTATTTGCAGGTAACATAATTTTCCTTTGTAATCAAATTCTAAGGCTAAAACTTCCTGGGCTTAACATAGTCTTTTTTTTTTTTTCAAAGATTTTTAAAAAAATTTTATTTATTCGACAGACAGAGATCACAAGTAGACAGAGAGGCAGGCAGAGAGAGAAGGGGAAGCAGGCTCCCCACTGAGCGGAGAACCCGATGCGGGACTCAATCCCAGGACCTTGAGATCATGACCTAAGCTGAACACAGAGGCTTTAACCCACTGAGCCACCCAGGCGCCCCTTAACATAGTCTTTAAAGAAAAAAAAAAAAAAAAACCAGCACTAGAATAGTTGAGAGATACTACATGGGTTACCAGCTGTAACAATAAATATAGCTTCCATGTCTCCCCAGGGCAATACAGTGTAATTGTGAAGATAAACTCTCTAAGAGATAGATCTAGGTTTGAATTTTGGCTCCAAATACAAATAACCTTTCTCACCCTATTTCCTTATTTCTGGATGTGGAAAATAACAATACCTGTGCTTCACGGGGCTGCTAGGAAAGATAAAATGAGATAGGACACATCATGGATCAGTGCCTGGTGTATGTACTCAATAGACACTAGTTATAATGATTATTTCAAAATAGTCCATGCGTCATTATCAATTCATGGTTAAGACTGAGTAATGTTCTAACATTAAAAACTCAAGAACTTAACAGAAATCAGTGTGCATTTTAATGTGAATTACCTATAATACATACATAATAATTTGTGTTTAGTTCCTGGCAGTTTTGACTGGACAGAGACTTTAGTCTTGGTACATTTTAAATTAGAAGAAGGGCTCTCGATGACTGTTTATTTTAGCAAATAGTCACTGAATGTCTCCTATGTGCTGGAAACTGCACAAAGTGTGGAACTATGAAGATTATTATGATCTCCTCCCTCAGTGAGTTGTTGATCTAATGGAGAGGCAGATACACAAATATAAAAGAATACAGATGGGGAAAGTGCCAGTGACAAGGTATACAGTGCACAGAGATGTGGCATCAGTTCAGCCTAGCAGAAAGGTCAGGGAAGTTTCCTGAAGGAGATACTTGAGAAATAAACAGGATTTACTAGGTGAAGAGAATATTAAGGGCTTTGGAGGCAAATGGGCAAAAGTAAGGACTGTGAGTGTTGAGAGGACAGTAGAGTAAATGTAGTAGAGAAATACAGGAACTCAACGTGGTTTGTATAACAGGAGTTAGCAACTGAAAGCGATTAATAAAGAAAAGCAATACACCTAATTTAAAATTCCATGAAAGTAAAATGTTCATGATGTAATCTCTGGCTAAATACTACAACGCGGGAAGATAAAATTATTTTCAAAAATGATTTTATTTTTAAATCGCTAGTCTTTGCTTTCATCAAGATGAAACTTTCTGTAGTAGCTTCCTCTGGAAGGGCTCATGGGAACAATTCCAAGTTTTTGCGCATTGCTAACAGTTTATGTCTATTGAAAGTCAGTTTTGGGGGTGCCTGTGTGGCTCTGTCAGTAAAGCATCCAACTCTTGGTTTTGGCTCAGGTCATGATCTCAGGATCTTGCTATCAGCTTTGAGTCAGGCTCTGTGCTCCAGCATGGAGTCGGCTTGAAATTCTCTCCTTCTCCATCCCCCTGGGCTTCTCCCCAGCTTGCATGCACTCGGTCATGCGTGCCCCACCACCACCAAAAAAAAAAAAACAAATAAATAAAGCCAGCTTTGTTGCATAGAAAATTCTTATCTCAATTTCTTTCTTTATAACTTTGCTATCAACATTTGATGATAATCAATTTTCTTTCAAAGTCATGTTCTCTTTTTTTCCCTATGTGTCTAAAGGAGTTGTTTTTTGTTTTAATTTCAACCCTAGTTAATCTCACCAGAATACTTCTTGGTGCTTGTTATTTTTTGTTGATATGGTCAGATAATTTTTCAATATGTAGTTCCAATTCTTATTAAGAAATTTCCCTTAATACTTTCAAATATTCATTTTGTTCTTTTGCCTTTTCAGGGACTCCTGTTATCCATATGTTCACTGTCCTTTATCCATACTCAATTACTTGCCTCCTTTTCTGAAATATTTTTTATCCTTTTTTTTTTTTTAAAGATTTTATATATTTACTTATTTGACAGACAGAGATCACAAGTAGGGGGAGAGGCAGGCAGAGAGAGAGAGAGGAGGAAGAAGCAGGCTCCCTGCTAAGCAGAGAGCCCAATGCGAGCCCAATGCGGGGCTAGATCCCAGGACCCTGGAATCATGACCCAAGCCGAAGGCAGAGGCTTTAATCCACTGAGCCAGTCAGGCACCCCTATCTTTCTTTCTGATTAAAAAAATTGGCCTTTATTGGACTCCTGGGTGGCTCAGTCAATTAAGCATCTAACTCTTCATTTCGTCTCAGTGACATGAGATCAAGCCCTGAGTCAGGCTCTGCACTGGGCCTGGAGACTACTTAAGATTCTCTCTCCCTCTCCCTTTTGCCCCTCTCCTAGAAAAAAAAAGAACAAAAAACAAAACACCATAAAACAGGTTTTTTTGCCTCCTATTTTTTCTAAGGCATTATTGGTTATTTGCTCTTAGGTTTCTCCTACTTAAATCGCCATTTCCAGAATAATTTTTTTTATTTATAATTCTTTTCCTGAGCTGTGTCACTTCAATTGAGTTTTCCTAATGCTGATTTCTGATGTTCTTTCACACCTTTTATCATTTTTCTTAATGTCTTTTAGCTTGTTCTGGAATATTAAGTTAGTTATTGACTTACAGCACATCTTTTTGGCATGCTTTCATTGTCTTCAGGAATGTTATTTTTCTTTCTTATAACATTGTATGGGATTTAACCTTGATACTTCTCCATTGCCCCCCCCACTTTTTTTTTTTTTTTAAAGATTTACTTATTTACTCTCTTGAGAGAGAGAGCAAGAGTGGGAGGGTGTGAGGGATAGGAAGAAAGAATCTCAACCAGACTCTGTGCCAAGGGCAGAGCCTGACATGCGGCTCTATCACAGGACTCTGAGACTGGGACCCAAGCAGAAACCAAGAGACAGCTGCTTAACCAACTGTGCCACCCTGGTGCCCCTCATTGCTTATTTTTATATGTAGTTTCTTCAACTTTAGCTTTCTACTCTTTCTCTCCACTTTGACCTGGTATTTCTATTTCCTTCTTCTTTCATGTTACTAACGTGTTCATTTTTGTTTCACTTCTAGAAGTTCCTCCTCAGTGTGGGGTCTTGTTCCGAGATGGAGCCCTACTGAGTCTGCCCCAGCCCCTTCAGCCCTCCTTGGGACAGAAGCATTGTAATCACCTGCTACCGCACAGGAACAAATCCTCTCAATTTCAGCTACCATACTTATGGCCTGCTCTACTTCCCAGTGAATACACGCTGGCTATTTTAGGCTCTCCTTCTCTCAGTGCTGCCAGGGGCCGAACCTGTCACTTCTTTCAGCACATTTGGTGATGCCATGCATTTTAGGGTTCATGAGGATACTCCCTCAACTAGGTTTGTTATAAATACTCACCAACTGTTTTTTGGTTTTGCTATCTAATCAACAGCATTTTTTGTGGTAATGTGAAGATCCAATCATGCCTCTGATACCACTATCTTCATTGAATCCCTAGCATTTTATTTTCCTTAACATCCATTTTGCTTAAAATACTGTGGGGTACAGCTAACTGACAGTCAGATATGAGTTCTAGTTCAGTCAAGGGAAGCAACAAAATGATTCTACTTTTGTTTGTTTCCTATTGCTTCCATGGAAAGAACTAATCAGATTCACTACAAAGGTTTGAAGTTGAACCATATGAAACTGCTATTTTTATCTGTTATAATGGTTGACTGATGGCAGTTTTACATGGTTCAAGCTAATACATATTGGTATCAAGCAAGTGTTTTCAGATTACTGATTACAGGCAACACAAAGAGTCAAGACTCTAACATGGGACATGGCATCATTTCATCTTCTACTCAGAAATTTCTGACAGTAATGCCTTAATTATTTGGTACTCTTCCAGTTTTCTATTTCACCAACTCTTTGGGCTGTATCCTTTGTACAGACAGCTTCTGCTCATTTCTCCCAAGTCTGTGTCCTCAGTCCCCTAACGTTTCCATGTGGTCTTGGATGCTAGTAAAGTCCTCTGCTCCTGTGATTTTAGCTACCATAAGCATGTGGATGACATTATAATCTGCCACGCATCCTTGGCATTTCTTTAAATTCTATACAGCAATCTTGTAAAACACGCTTTTCTCACTCTAAATGATCACAAAGGCAACTTCCTCTGGAAGATTCTTTGGCTCTATGCTATTCCTGCCTCAAACACCTTCTATTTATTGACCTACCCTGCACTTACTTTTGTACCTATAACCTTCATGAGAGTCACTTACAGCCAAACTCTTAGGTCAGTTTCTTCCCCGTCAATGACAGAAAGAAAGAAATTCCAACACATACCACTTTAATAAATTCACTCATTTTATGTATTCTTAAGTTCATAAACAACTATAACACTAACACTAATGCATACAAATCTTAATTCGTATTTTAAAAACACTTACTGATTCTTCATTTACCAACTACTTCTTATACTACCTGTGTTAGTATTGACGACAATTGTGATCTGCAGATAAAGGTGTCTGATATATTACTTATAACGTGACAAAAAACAACAACAAATACACGTAGCCATTTAAAATTCTGTAGTGAGATACCAAGTCAAAAACCAGTGGCATTTAAAATATTACTCCTTACAACTGCCACCACAAAGTGTTTACCATGTACTGTATTATGAAATAGGTTATTTTCCTTAGTTCTTCCATGACATCGCAAAAAATATACTGCCTACCTCAAGAAGATTGGGAAGGAACACTGATAGTAAAAAACAAATTTAAAAAAACCCAGAACTTCTCTGTACTAATGTTCTGAGAGATCTTTCTGCATGAGCTTTCAGTGACTGAGGAAAAAAAAAAAAAAACCCAATACAGTAGGTTAAAAAGCAGTTTGCACTGTAAAAGCAAATCGAAAAATCGTTTCATTTCTGAGTTCCCCAGAGAATTCGATGAAGTACAGAAATTCCATCAACAAAAGAAATACAGACATTACTAAAGGAACATATGTGGCTCCATATTCATTTCTGTGTACAACAATTATTCACAGTTGCCTAGGAACTACTGTGAATTTGTGTAGGGAAATGACCACTTTTACTTTCATACCAACTGTTCAGAAGCCACAAGCTTAAGGAACTTTTTGATGAAGTCAATGAGTCCTTGAATGGTTCGGGTTCGCTCTACAGCCCACTTCTTTGTTTTCATTATAGGGGTGTCTCCCACAGCTTTCAACAGGACGTCAACTGTCAAAGAAAAAAAAAAAACACTGGCAATTACACTGAGCCATCCAAAGTAAATGTGATATAAAAGACTTCAGAAAACTTAAACCTTTAATTGACATACAGTTTATGTATTTATGATACTGGAGGCATGTCTAAGATGTACAAATGTTAGGTAATATTCTTTCTCATCATGCTTTTGTGGACTTTTTCCCCTTGACCCTATAGTCCGACAAAGACCTCCCCATGAAACTGACCTTTAAAGTGCATTTGCACATAACAGGCTATTCCAAAGAGAAGAAATGAAGACAGAAGAGGAAAAGATAGTACAAAAGAAAGTAAGAAAAAATATATAAGATAATGTTATGTCCTTTTTCAACGGTCAAACTAGTAAAATTATAATAACAACAATGTAGACAGTATTACTGTTGGGAAAGCAAAATTATACACCCTTTCTGGGGAATATTATGGTAATAGATATCCAAATACTTCATGATATACTTTGACTCAGTAACACTTCTAGGAATCTAGTCTAAGAAAAATATGAGATGTGAAAAGAGTCACTTAAAAGGATTTCACCTTTGTTGAAGATTTTATTTTTACAGAAAAAAACAAAAAACAAAAAAAACACCTTGGTAAACCTAAATACCCAGCAAGGATATTTAGAAGATTGGTAAATAAAGGATATTATGCTCCATGATAGAATTAAGTAACATAGTAAAGCACAACATTCTAAATTCCCTGGGATCAAAATCCAGCTTTTGTCACTTACTAGGTTATATATCAGGACAAGCTTTTAATCACCCTGTACCAGTTTCTCCATTTGTAAAATGAGGATATCATCTACCTCACAAGGTTGTGAGGATTAGATTAGTTAATACACATAAAGTACTTAGAACAGTATCAGCTCATAACTCATACTTACTGAACCCTAAGATTATTAAGCTGCCACTAGAGAAACATTATAAAAACATACTTAAAATGTGACCAAGTTATGAAAACGTACTAAATACGAAACAGCATGTACGATAGGATATCAATTTCATTAAAACCACTACAAACACATATTCACAGAAATGTGGACTATAGACCAAAATGCTACTTCTCAGTAGTGACATTAGAGACGATCACTTGATTTTATTTGTGCTTTTGTAACCACCAAGTGTTCTACAATAAACTTAATAAACTAATAAAAAGTATTAGAAAGACAATACAACTAGGAGCCAAAAGACTTCAGAATCAAATAAAATCAAGTTTCAATATCTAGACAGGGATGCCTGGGTGGCTCAGGTGGTTATGGGGTCTGTCTTTGGCTCAGGTCATGATTCCAGAGTCCTGGAATCAAGTCCCCCATTGGGCTCCCCGCTGAGAGAAGCCTGCTTCTCCCTCTGCCTGATGCTACCGTGCTTGTGCGCATGCTCTCTGACAAATAAATAAAATCTTAAAAAAAAAAAAATCCAGATATCTACAATCAAGAGTTAACACTGAAAGCAAAATAGTGTACTGCTGCCCCCTAAAGTCAGCTCTATCCTACTACATCTTCCTTGTCTCATTCCTTGGTCTTAAACGTTTGAGATTCCCACCAGGTCTCTGGAGTTTATTCAAGGTTTGCCTCTAGAATGAAGGAACCCAGAACACAGGACACATACAATTTATTTTCCAGCTAAAGTTTATCTTCCTTTCTCCATTTAATAATTATAGCTTCAGTTATTTAAATATAAATGAATTGGGAGATAACAGAGAAGATTTTGGTTGACTCAGCTTCCATACCTCCCTTAACCCTTGGGACCTATCGATAACTCAACTATAACTGGGTATTTCAGTAAAGTGAGGCAGAAAATATTGTGAGTTATATATACTACTGAAGGAAGAAGAGCGGGAAGGCAAAAAGCTAGGAAAGTTACTTAGTTATAGCTGTAACTTTTTCTTTTTTTTTTTTTTAATTCTAAAGGTGATTTGCTTAGAGTTCTCAACCATAGCTATACATTAGAATCAAGATTTACAAGAATACAGGAACCCACAACAATTAATTTGGAATCTTCTGGAAGTAGTGCGCTGGTAAGTTCAAAAGCTCTCCCAAGTAATCCTAATTAGTTCCTAAGGACCAACAACCTTGGTCAGCTTCAGGAATCTGAATTCTTCTGTAGCTTAAACTAAAGCTGGAGCATATGAAATGCTGAAGCTTCTTCCATCAGAAGAGATCCTCAAAAAAGGACAACTTCAGGGTAGATATTCAACAGCTAGAAACTAAGTTTTTCATCACAGAGGCGAACTCAAATGCTCCCAAGAGCCAGAAAATGAAAATACCATTTCTCAATGGTGGTTTAAAGAAAAAGAAAACTATGCAGACAGAAGAAAACACGCCATATAACCTGAGGCCGTATCTGGGTTATGGGCCACTAATTTTTTTCCCTCTGTTTTCCTCAGGTATCTTCAGGGTCAAGTAGTAAGCTTTTGACTGAGGCTGTCAAAGCCAACTCCAGGCACCCCCCCCCCCCAAACAAACAAACAAAAAACCCTCAACAATAAAACCTTTGAAGTCTGTTTCTGCTTATAGTAAAATGAGAAAAAAAAGAATCATGGAATTCTTCTGAAAGACTCTAGTGCTTCTTTACAGAAATCATCACAGGTTTCTGTTACTCTACTAGGGCATCGTGTGGAAATAACAGAGTATGTTTCCCCCCAAATGTAGAGCCGGTCTGACTTCAAACGGAGCGGGTACCCGGAGACCATTCTCCAAAAGCAGCAGAAACTGATGTTCTATCCAAAGGCTGTGAGACCACGGACTAGAAAACATGCCATACCTAGATTTTAAAACTCTGGACTGATAAAAACAGAGGACTAGGGTCAACCAATCCGAATTGTAATTGCTGATGCGAGGATTTTTTCAGAGGCAACGCTATAGCGGATGCTCAAGGCCAAGTGACTTCCTCAGGATTTTCCATCAACGGCGAACTAATTCCCAAGCAATAAAGGGTTTGAGGACTAATTCAAGCAATGAAATGACTCGCTTATAAAGGTTCCAAACCTTTGGGGGTGGTTTGGGGTGGGGCGGCGGAGGAGGAGATCCTATGCCTTTGGTTTTCTGTTGACACTCTTCAAACTTGATAAAATTTGTTTTGGGCACAAGGAGTGAATTCACAGGCACTTGATATAAGGCGTTTCTTCTAATCCAGACTTGCCACCGACCATCCCTAACTTAACCTTAAGCCATTCATCAAGTAATTACGACCCCTGTTAAGCACCTGGAGCTCCCTGAGCTCCCACTCAGCCCCCACCTCCAACGGGCCCACCGTCTGGCTAATTCAAAGAAGGAGTGGAACGCAGCGTAGGAAGTACTGTGGCGGTCAAGGACCCCACACCACACCGCGAGGGTGCGTCCGGAGACCGCTCTCCCCAGAGCTACTCAACGCAAAGGTCCCGAAAGCCGAAAACCACACTTCCTCTCTCCTCACTGGTCAAAAGCCACGACTGGGCCCAGCCTCCTCGAAAGTTTGCCTTTATTGGCCGCCAGGGACCCAGTCGGACGCAATCTAAACCTCCCGCCTCTGCCTGGAAAGAAACTGCTCTCAAAATTACTTTTTTTCTTGGTGTCGCCGGCAGGTTCCTCTGTCCCCGGGGAGACCGCAGCGGAAGAAGGGGGCTCCGGAGTGGCTGTCTCTGGGGAGACTTCCGTAGGTCCTTCGCCTTCAGCAGCGGTTGAGGGAGGAAGCTGCAGCGCCGACTCTGACTCCTCAGCCATCTTGCTCAGTCGAAGGCGAGGGCGGAAGTGGTGGCTCAGCGTGTTCAGGGGGCGGGGTTTACGACAGAGGGCGTCGCTGAAGAGGCGCCGGAGTGGTGGCCGGGGGAACTCAACCCAACAGTGAAAGTTGGGAGTGTCAGTTGGTCCTCTACGTGCAACATGCCACGGAGCCCTGACTACTAATCCCGCAACTACGCTTTTGCACCGCAACAATCCTCCGGAGGGAGTCTGCGAACCTCGTACCTGCGCGCCGCGTAGTGCGCAGGCGCCTCTCTGACTAGCGGGCTCGGGGCTAGAGATGTTTCCGCTTCCCTTCACGTCGGCCCCGCCTAGGCCCCGCCCAGGCCCCGCCCCGTGGCTCGGGAGCGCGCGCGCGCGCGTGCGGGAGGGGGCGGGTGGGGAAGGATCGCCGGTGAGATCCTGAGGCGAGGCTCGCGCGCCCGCCCCCGCCCTGGCCCCCAGCGCCCACCCGGTCTGCCCGGCTCAGCCATGATCAAGGCGATCCTCATCTTCAACAACCACGGGAAGCCGCGGCTCTCCAAGTTCTATCAGCCCTACGTGAGTATCCCGCCGCCGCCGATCCGCGGGAGGGGGAGTCGTTGGCGGCTGGCAGCGCCCTCAGGGAGACCCCCTGAGGCGCGCCGCGGCCCTTCGCGCGCCCTCGGCCGCCTCGCGCTCCCGGGCTGTCAGCCTCCCGCCCGAGGCGAGCGAGGTGCCCACCTCCCGCCGCGCTCCTGTCCTCCGACGTGGCTCTACCCGGGCGGCTCCTCCGCCGGTCTGTGGGCTGGGCGGCTTCCCCGAGGCGCGGGCGAGGCCCTGGGGACTTCCCGGGGCCGGGGGCCCTCGGCGGTCGGGCGGCCCCAGCCCACCTGCACCCGCGAACACACCCGGCGCTCCGGCCTGCCCGCCGCCGAGCTCGGGGCGCGCCGAGGGGCTGGGGCTCGCGGCCCCACCTCCCTGACTCGCAGCCTCTCCCGGCCGACTTCTCTCTCTCCTCCCGTGGACAGATGGGCTCCTGTTTTTCCCGGTAATCCCTTCGTCGCGCAGGAACTTGGGGCTTCCTGCGTTCGCCTGAGCGCTCGCTCTGGACCGTCTCCCCTGGGTGCTCGGTCCAGCCCTCGGCCGCCCGCTGTGACTTTCAGGTGCCTCCTTATTAGAGAAAAAAAGTGAGGACCGAACATTTTTTTTTTTTTTTTTAAATGGAGCTTTTCCCCTAGTGGCCGTGAAGAAGGTCCTGCAGTAGCCGGCGACGTTTAACCCGTGACAGCTGTGACCGTCCCTAACCTGAAAGTTCCCATTGCAGCTGCTGGTTTGGCATTTCGCTCCCTAAAGGGATGGGGTCTCGTCTGTAGCTTTTCTTCTACTTAGGAAGAATGGTCATATTCGTAAAACTCTCCGTGCAGTGTAAATGGTGTTGCAGAAAATGCAGGAGGTTTTAAGGGGGTGGGGGGTAACTGAGGGTTACAGACGTAGGTGCCTGTCTGAGGGCAAAATTCACCGCTAGGTAAAACGTAAAATGGAGCTGTCCGTGTGAGGATTCCTGTAGAGATACTAACTGTTGGGTCGTGTGGGGGCATTCTGCTTAGAGTCAGAAATGAACTTTCAATTAAATACTGAAATCGTGCCAAGGCTAGCACTTCTGTGCAGATAAACCCCAGATGGAAATGATGCCTGCCGTTGAAAATGAAATGTGAAAATGTCACTTGGCTTAAAATGATAATGCAGTCTGTGGAGGTGTTAGCCGAAGTGAGAAATCTTGAGCTTATTCCTCATTTCCTTAAGTAGTTTTGCTTCTGTGGGTGATAAGGAATATTTTCCTCTGTTCCCATTTGGTTTTAGTATGGTGTACTTCAAATACTAACGCTGTTGTTTCTGAGTTCGGTATGATTTTTTTAAAAGATTTTATTTATTTATTTGACAGAGAGAGACACAGTGATAGAGGGAACGCAAGCAGGAGGAGTGGGAGAGGGAGAAGCAGGCCCCCGCTGATCAGGGAGCTCAATGCGGGGCTAGATCCCAGGATGCTGGGATCATGACCTGAGCCGAAGGCAGATGCTTAACGACTGAGCCACCTCTATATGATTTTTTTTTTTATCATAATGAGGCGCCCCTCGATATGATTTTTTTTTGACCCAGAATAAAATCATAGTTGATCCTTCTGAGTGGGGGAAAAATGCCCTTAACTGTACGTTGTTACCCATTTTCCTAAAATGCAGTATTGGTCTTTACTGAAGGAATCTTTTTTCTTAACTGTATTCCCTGGTTCATCCATTTGCAGGGTAGGAAAGGTGTTTTGTGTTACTGAAACAAATCAAAGATGTGTTTTTTCATAGCTACACTTAATATCAGTACTCAAAATAGTAAGTTTCCTGGCTGCTTCGTGGTATCAATGTAACCCACTCATGTAGTTCAGAATTTAAGCATCAACAGAAAGATGTATTTAATTTGAGAATCCAGGAATACATCTTTCTCCTGTCCGAAAAATGGGAGAAGTGCCTTTTACCTTTACTTAGAGGTAGCAGTGAAGGTTACTGTGGGAGGAGGCAGTCCTGGCATCATGGCAATTCTGGTGTCATTTTTGGCCGTTGCATTAGTGACAGTGTTACTGGAGACAGGGAGCTAAGAGGTGTAAAAAGAAGAACCTAGTGTTCACTGGACATGTAGAAGTGGGAATGCCAGGAACTGTTTCTATTAATTATTAGTTTTTCCTAAATTGGGTTTAGCCAACTATATATTTGTTTTTCTTGGTCAAGAATAATGTAATATAACTGATTTGAGGGGAGAAATCTTTTCCACTCCTTTATGCCATCCAGCCAGTTTGTCAGCATATGTTCGTTTCATGCCTACCTTGTCCAGGCAGGGTTTTAAAATCTGGAAATGAACAAACATAACTAATGCTCTTTTGGTGGGGGCTGGGGGATGGACAAAGCTAATAAGAAGTAGAATATGTATACCGTGTCAGATAGTAGTAAGTGCTGTGAAAAAAATAAAGTGGAGTAGGGTGAAAAGGGAGTATGAGGATGACAGTTTAAAATAGGATAGTCAAGTAAGTCCTCACCGAGAAGGTGACATTCGAACAAAGTCTTGAAGTAGGTAAGAAAGCCAAACGTGCGGGTATCTGAGGGTAGGTCATTCCAGGCAGAGGGAGCAATTGATGCAAAGGCCCTGAGGATGGAATGGCTATTTGAAGATTCTGTCCTTTTTGAACAACACCAAGAAATAGCATGGCCAGAGCAGACTATGTAAGGAAAGAGTATTTGGAAAAGAGTTCTGTTTGTATAGGGCTTCAGAGTTACTCTCTTCTGACTGCCTGGAATGTCCTTCCCGTGTATTGCCAAATGTCCAGATTTGACCTCTTGTTCCACATTTAACTCGAACATCACTTAAGCACTTCCTGAAGCTTTTTATCTTGCTGGATGACTCCTCTTGGTTCTTAGGATTTTATTTTTATCGTTATTTATGGTACAGTATTTGGTTGCACAGCCTATAATTCCTTGGGGGCATCCTATAGATTCCTTGAGAGAAGGTATCAGGTTTTAGATGTATTTGTGTCACCCCTAGCAACCAACATTGAATTTTGAATATAGAAAGCTCTCAAAAGTCTTTGCTAATGTATAGTATCTATGTATTTGTTAGATTCTCCTAGCCTAATATGGAGTTTGGATTAGAAGTGACTTCTAAGGCTCCTTCCACCTTTTAAAATTTTGTCCTTCATTAACTGGATGTTTTAAGAATTCATGCCTTCGGGATAAAAGCAATGGTGGAATAGTTGTTACTTCAGCTGTTTCTGTTTTAAGTTGAAGTTTCTAAGAAGTATGTATTCTCAAGACTGACAGTTTTGAGTGTAATTTATTAAGCAGCCCCCAGGGGTGTGGTCCTGATAAGATGCCACAAATTTGATTCCAACAATAATGGTTTAGCAGTGAGCAGTTTGAAAACTGTTGAACCATTTGCCAGCCGTTTCCCTTATTGCATTGGATTTCCATTCCTCATTTATCCTTCCTCTTTTTAAAAAAAGGTTTATTTATTTATTTATTTTTTTAAAGATTTTATTTATTTATTTGACAGAGAGCGATCACAAGTAGGCAGAGAGGCAGGCAGAGAGAGTGAGAGGGAAGCAGGCTCTTCACTGAGCAGAGAGCCCGATGCGGGACTCGATCCCAGGACCCTGAGATCATGACCTGAGCCAAAGGCAGCGGCTTAACCCACTGAGCCACCCAGGTGCCCTATTTTTAAGTAATCTCTATACCCAACTCACAACTCATGACCCGGAGATCAAAAATCACATGGTCTTCCAACTGAGCCAGCCAGATACCCCTATTCTTCCTTTTGATACAACAATTTATATGTTCATCTTTACCCTTTGGTAGTGCAGATTTCTGTTTCCTGCTGTAATAGATTTTTTTAGATTTTTTAGGTTTGATTGTGCCTGCCAGCTATTGTGAGGTTTGATATATCCGAAGTCACACATCTCTTTTGCTAAACTGAAATTTTTGGTTCATTCTGCTAGAGTCAGATACTAAGAATTCAAGGGTGGACTCAGAATACTGTCACCTCTTGTTTTTGCCCTCTGTTTCCTTGAGCTATGATTACAGAAGTTTGAATGTTTTCCTTGGTTTAATTGTTTCTGTAATTGATGGTTAGCCCCAGCAACTTGGCAACAATTAACTTTAGTCTTTTAGTATTTGCTTGGCAATATTTGTGTATTGCCATAAAGAACTAAGGAGACATGTAGTTAATAAGCCAGATTTATTTTTACATAGCCATCAAACAAAACCCTTGGGTTTTGATTCCTTTGTTATTAATAAAGCATGACGTATCACTATAAATAAAGTGAACATGTTTTTCTTTTATATGAATTATAGTAGTTGTTTCCACAGATACAAAAGATTGTGCACATATAAAATGCACTGTTTATACATGAATTACAAACTGTTATATATATGAGTTGCCTCAGTTTTCTTATAAACTAAATCTGATTATTATTGTCAATTAAATGCATGCCCTAGAACGGACCTAAGATTGTTCTTTCCTTTTTTGAATTT